TTTTTTTTTGAGACCAGGTCTTACTATGTATTCCAGGTTTGCCTTCTTGTTTTGAACTCACTATGAAACCCAGTGCCTCTCTAGCTGCCTCCTGTCTTCTATCTAACTTGCCTGTATATAATTGTTGGTTTGTAAAATGGGTTGAGCTCTGTTTCCTTGTTAATCTTCTGTCTAGCTCTATCCATTACCGAAAGTTGGGCTTTGAAGTCACTGACTTTTTGCTTCATATATATTTTTTCTTTTTTTGCTTCATATTCTTTGGAATTATTGTTGTTGTTTTTGGTTTTTTGAGACAGGGTGTCACTGTGTAGTTCAGGCTGGTCTTGAACTCACTATGTAGCCTAGGCTGGCCTCGAACTCACAGCAATCCTCCTGCTTTAGCCTCCCAAGTGCTGGGATTACAGGCATGCGCCACCACGCCCAACTGTCCTTTGAAATTATGGTAAGTGCATACATGTATAGATGTTTATAATAGTTACTTATATCTATCTTCTTGTTGTACTGAATCTTTCACTAATCCTTCTTTGGCTTTCGCAGCACTTTTTAATTTAAAATCTGCTTTGTCTAATATTAGTATAGATTCTCTCTTTAGGTTATGATTTACATAGAATATCTTTCATTTTTCTATTTAACTTTAAATCTATTTATGAGTTTGGATCTAAAATGAGTTTCCACATAGTTGGATCCTGGGTCTTTTTTTAACTTTATTTTTTATTAGTACATATTTGCCATATATATTGATCACATTCATCATAGGGAATTTGTGCCTGTATGTAATATATCTTAATTCTTTTTTCCCCATTTCTCTCCCCAACCTTCAACCCCTCCTCCCCTCCTCTTTACAAAAGCTTTGTTTCCATTTTTTCCCTTCCATTCTCTTTTTTCCTTCCCTTCCCTTTCCCTTCTCCTTTGTTACCCTTCCCATTTGAACATTTTCTTCCTACTTCCCAATATCTATCATCCATTCTGGTCCTTATTTATGCTTTTGGTTTCTCAAACAAGAGAAATAATGCAATATTTAAACATATGTCTCTGATTTATTTCAATTAGAAGTATGGTCTCAATGAGAACTGAAAGTGGAAATAAGAACTAAAATTTAAAAAAATTTTAAAAAAAGAACTAAAATGTATAATAGATTTTGGGAAATGGAAAGAAAATGTACAAATGGGAAGAGGAACATGGGAGGAGGGAGAAAGTAAGGAAGGGCAAGAAAAAAGTGAAAATAGAAGGAAAAAACGGAAACAAAGCTTTTGTACACAGGGAAGGGAGGGGATGTAAGGGGAAGGAGGATAAAATAAAATTAATTTTTTAAAAAAGTCTGGTCTCAAGGTGCATCCATTTACCTAAAAATGTCTCAAGTTTATCATTATTTATGACAGAGCAGTAATTTATTGTATATAAAAACCACATTTTCTTTATCCATTCCTCCATTAATTAGCATCTAGGCTGTTTCCAAGATTTAGCTATTACAAATTGTGCTGATACTGGCCAACAGACAGCAGCAAATCATCAAGAAGATTATACATCATGACCAAGATAAAGAAAGATAAAGAAAGACATATTCCCGCCATCTTGCTGGTTTTCTTTATATCTTATGTCTTGTTTCTAATTTCTCCTTTACTGTCTTCTGTGTTTAATTGATTTTTCTCTAGTGGGCCAATTTTATTCCTTCTTATGTCTTTTTCTGTGTATTTTTTAGTTATTTTCTCAGTGGTCATGCTTGGCATTAAAACTGACATCTGAAATTTATAACAATTTGGTTTTAGTTAAGTGCAGCTTAGCCTCAGTGATATGCAAAACATACATACAGTATACAAATAATGTATAACTCGGGCCAGGGATTTAGCTCAGTAGCACTCTGCCTGCCTCATAAGTACAAGGTCCTGAGTTCAATCCCTGATACAAAAAAAAAATTAATTAATTAATAATAATATATAACCATCATCCCCATTTATCTAATTACTGTCACAAGTTACAACTTTATATATTATGTATTGATTAGCATAGATTTATAATCAATGTTTTATACATTTGTCTTCTAAACAGTATAGGAAAAATGGGGATTATAAGCCAAACACAATAATATTGACTTTTACATTTGCACATGTAATTACTTTTATTGATATTCTTTATTTCATTATGTGACTTCTAGTTATTGTCAGGCTTCTACTCATTTCAGCTTGACGAACTTTAACAATTCTTGTGGGAAAATCCACTTACAATGAATTCCTTCCCCTTTTATTTATCTAGGAATGTCTCAATTTTTCCTTCAGCATGTTTTTTAGTTTTGGTGGTGCTACAGATTGAACCCATAGAGCACTGTGCGGCATATCCCCACCCTTTTTTATTTTCAGGCTCTACTGAAACTGCCCAGGCTGCCTCAAACTTGGCATCTTCTTGCCTCAGTCTTCTTAGTGGCTGGGATTACAGGGTGTGCCACCATGCCTGTCTTTCCTTCATCTTTGAAGTGTAGTATTGTAGGATATATAATTCCTGTTTGATTTTTTTTTTTCTTTCAGCATTTTAAATGTCATACCACTGCCTTCTGGCCTCAGTTTTTGGTGAAATATTTGCTGTTGGTCTTATACAAGATCTCCCTCCCTCATTCATAAGTCACTTCTTTCTCTTTTTTTTTTTTTTTTTGCACCGGGGATTGAATCCAGGGCCTCGTGCATGCTACAACAGCAAACCTCTGTCTTTCAAGTTTGGTTATAATGTGTCTTGGTTTATATCTCTTTAAGTTTATCCTACTTGGAGTTCATTGAGTTTCTTTGATATGTAGACTCACCTCTCTCACTAAATTTGGAAAGTTGTTAGACATGATTTTTTCAAATACTTTTTTCTTTTTTTTTTTTTTTGAGACAAGGTCTTGCTACATAGTTGAGGCTGGCCATGAACCCACTATGTAGTCCAGGCTGGCCTCAAACTCAAAGCAAGCCTCCTGCTTCAAACTCCTGAGTGCTGGGATACAACCCTGCACTGCTACACACCCGGCCCTGTTTTCTACTCTTTCCTCTTTCTCTGGTCCTTCCAGGAGAAGGAGAAAGGAGTGTGCTGGATGGTGTCCCACCGGTCCCTTAACCTCTGTTAATTTTTCTTTTTCTTTTTCACACTGGATAATCTCAGCGAATTTAGTTTCAAGTTTGCTGATTCTTTCTTCAACCTGCTCAAATCTGCTGTTTAATCCCTGTAGTGCATATTAGACCAGCTTTTTAAACTGCATCATCTGTATCCTGTGCCATTGTTTCTTTTGTCCTGGACCTGGGTAGTTACCATTCAGTGCTACGTGGAGGTCCTTGTGGTTCTTGCTTTCTATATGTTGGTGTTATGCTTTCTGTGACTTCTACTCTTGGTAGTCACAAAGTTACCCCCTTCTCTTTACTGACTATCTAAAATTCAATGTGGTCTGAAGCTCAGATAGGACTGTTTTCCTCTGGGTAGGTTGGTCAAGGTCCATGCAGGCCCCCTCACCCTTTTAGCTCTGACTTGCCAGTCACTCCACAGTAACCACATTCTCAGAAGACAGTTGCCTCTGGTTTGTACACAAATGTGAATTAAGAATCGATTCTACAGGGCCGGGGATTTAGCTCAGTGGTTTCACCACCTGCTGCACAAGTGCAAGGACCTGAGTTTGATCCCCGATACCAAAAAAAAAAAAGAATCAATTCTACAAATCATGTATAGTGCTGCAGGCCTGTAATCCCAGCACTCTGGGAGGCTGCAGCAGGAGGATTGTAAATTTGAACCCAGCCTGGGCATTGTAGTGACTTAGTAAGACCCTGTCTCAAAATAAAAAATAAAAAAAGGTCTGGGGATGTAGTTCAGTGCAAAAACCCTGAGCTTAATTCTCAGGGGTTTGTTTTTTTTGTTTTTGTTTTTGGTACTGGGGATTGAAAACAGGACCTTGCGCTTTCGAGGCAGGTGCCGGAACCACTGAGCTAAATCCCCGGGCCTTTTTTGTTTTGTTTTGTTTTTGTTTTTGTTTTCGGTATCAAGAATCAAACTCAGGACCTTGTGCTTGCCAGGCAAGTGCAGCACCACTGAGCTAAATCCCCAGCCCTTAATCCTCAGTATTGAAAAAAAAAAATTTTTTTTAAGTAGTTGGAAAAAATCAAAAGGATAATATTTTACGTATTTTGCGACACATAAAAAGTACATGAGCCAGGCTGGGGATTTAGCTCAGTGGTTCTGCTGCCTGCCTTGCAAGCCCAAGGGCCCGAGTTCGATCGCCATACCAAAAAAAAAAGAAAGAAAAGAAACTAAAAAGTACATGAGCCAGGAGTGGTGGTGCACACCTGTAATCCCAGTACTCGGGAGGCTGAAGCAGGAGGATCACAGAAAGTTCGAGGCCAGCCTGAGCCACATAGTGAGCTCAAGGTAACCTATATAGTGAAACCCTGTCTCAAAACAAAAAAATGCTAAATTGCATACCCACAAAAACAACTATGCTTCCAAAGGACTTCTCCCCAAGAATGGTCATTCAAGGGAGATCTCCTCCAGAACACATGAAAAATGGGCTTCTAGATCCCCAGACAGGAGCCCAGGGGTCCTACCTCCCCTCCTAGACTCACATTCCCTACTCAAGTGGACTGTGTGTCTGCCCTATGCCATGTCAGGCTCTACCTGTTGAAACTCTCCTACCCAGTGGGGCTCCTGTCTTCCACAAGGGTAGTCACCAGAAGGTACAGGCCCACCCCTCCCACCAGAGAACAGAAGGGCCAACTTGGCTATCTGGTAGTCCAGCCACTGAGAAAGTCTCCTTTCCTGGGTCGGTGAAGAGTCCTCAGCTCAGTGCAAAGGGGCACGACTGAGGGCTGCAAAGGGACCCAAATCCAGGATCCTCCAAGGTGGGCATGGAATGTCCTCTGGTTGTCCTACAGGTAATCACCCTGACCCTGTAAGAAGTGAGGCAGCCCAGCACCTTGTCCAGGCCTTGCCTGCCTCTCCCTTGCTCCTGGTAGGCTCACCTGGGGTCTCAGTGCTCTCTCTGTGTCTCCCAGGTGTCTTCTTGTTCCCATCCCCAGCAGCAGCAAATGAACCAGTCTTGGAAGAAGTAGGGGTTGTAGCCCTGGCACCCCTGGTCGACCTGCTGAGCAGTCCACAGCCTAACCCCCTGACGGGCCCTCTCAACATACTGCTGTCCAGCCCAGCACCACCTGGGTCACAGAGCAGTCCATTCTCCAGCCTGCTGAGCGGCACCCTGAGCAGCCACCTGACTGGTCCCAAGGCTGTTTCTCCAGGAGGCACTCTGGTCATGTCTCTGGGCCTGACCTCCACTGGTCCCCTGAGCAGCCCCGTGATGGTCCCCATGGCAGTGTCCCCTGGGGGCACCGTGGCTGGCTCCCTGGGCTTGACCTCCACTGGCTCCCTGACTCCAAGCAGCCCCCTAGCAGGCCCCCTGACTATGTCTAAGAGCAGCCCCCTGATGGCCCCTGGGGCAGGCACAGTTGCCATCTCTCTGAGCAGTCCCCTGCTCACCTCCACAGCTGCCCCTATAGGTGTCTCTCAGAACCTTCCAGCCAACCCCATGAGTAGTCTGGTGCTGTCAGAGGGCCCAAGGGTGCGGCTGGCAGAGCCACTCCAAGGAAGCCCTTCTGGGCCCCCCTCTTCAGCTGGGACAGGGGAAGCAGCCACCTCTAAAGGTAACAGGGGCAGGGCAGGGGTGCAAGGTATCCTGGGAGGGCCAGTCTTTGATCTTGTCCTGCTGCTCTCTAATGCCCCTCCTCTCATGTTTGCCCCCTCCCACATCACTAGCACTTGCCAATGAATACCCCCAGCCCGCCCAAGACCCACAGCACCTCAGCATGACATTTATGGCAGCGCCCCTCCAGGCCTCCACCCCTGTGGGTACAGTGACCCCTCCTGGTCCAACAATGGCCTTCTCCTATGGTACCTCAGATGTCCAGGCTCAGCCTAGTGCCCCCCAAGGGCAAAACGTTCCCACCTCTGTCCCCACCTCCCCAACCAACTCCCTAGCTGGCAGAGTCATCAACTCTGCCCCTACCCCTGCCCCTCAAGCTGGTGCTATCTGCACCCCCTTGAGCACTACCCACTCTACCTCCCAGCCACCGCCCACCCCTCACTCTCCTTCACGCCACCCCCACACTCCACCTCGCACTTCATCCTTCCCGGCTTCAGTCACGGATACCCGGGGTTCATGTACCATGGAGGCAAACCGGAAAAGCATCCTGGAGTTGGAGCGGAAGCCGACCCACCGAAAAACTAGCAAATTCCCTGATGGCTCCCGAGGTCAGTGACATCAAAGGGCTCACCACTCTCCCGGGGGACCCCAGGCCATCTACCTTGCTGCCTGCCCAGGCTGCTGACGTGGCCCCTACCATTCTGCCCATCCGCACTCAGTTGAGACCTTTTGTCATCTCCAGAGTCGAAGCAGCTGACCTGGGAGAGGCTAGTGGGGGAGATCGCCTTCCAGCTGGACCGCAGGATCCTGTCCAGCATCTTCCCGGAGCGTGTGCGCCTCTATGGCTTCACCGTCTCCAACATTCCAGAGAAGATCATTCAGGTGTGTGGCCATCCATCTCCTTGTTGCCAGGGAGCCTGCAAGGATGGGGTGGTGTGTTGGCCCTGAAAGGCCACTAGGGGGCTCTCCCTGCAGTGAGGGAGTCTGGAGTGGAGGAATCCCAGTGCTCTGTCCAAGCAGTCACCAAATGTCCAGAGTCCCCTCCCCACAGCCTCTTCAGAGAATGGCAAGGCAGGGAGTCCCAAGAGTGGGCAGGTGGCTCTCCAGATGGGTGGTCCTAACTCTCAAGGGCTGACCCAGGGGACATAGACCCTGGAGCCACTGAACACCTGGCAGACTTGTCACCTGGGACTTCATTCCAGTGTATTCCCAGGGTATTTAACCTTCTCTTTTGGGAGGGCTGGAGCATCAACCGCTATGTGTGACAGTCTGTGGAAGGTGTGGGCGGGGGAGGGAGGCAGGGCTATTGGGTATAGGTTTCCACTGGTCTGGACACCATAGAGCAGCTTATGAGTGCCCTGGAATCCCCTTCCTGGCAAGCATGGGACAGCTGGAGGCAAGGAAGTAGGGGCCCCATCCCTGATTATCAACCATTTGGGCTTCTCTTGGAAAAATGGTCTCACCTGTGTTCCTGGATTCTGCGCGCCAGTGTGTGTGTGGGGGGTAGGGGCTGAACCCAGGACTTTGCACTGAGCTACATCCCCAGCACTTTTTTTCTTTTCTTTTCTTTTCTTTTCTTTCTTTCTTTTTTTCTTTCCGGTAATGAGGATCAAACTCAGGACCTTGTGCTTGCCAGGCAGGTATGGTGCCACTGAGCTACATCCCTGGCCCCTTTTTTTTCATTTTTCACTTTGAGACAGAGTCTTGCTAAATTGTCAGGCTGAGCTCTAACTTGTGATTCTTCTTTCCCAGTCTTCCAGAGTGCTGGGATTACAGGCCTCTTGCCACTGCACCCAGCTCCCGGCCATTTCCCCCACCCCTTCAGGCTGTCTTTATTTATAGATTGTAGACTTCTGTGTGTAATCTAGGCAGGCAGTAACTTTTGGTCACATGGATTGATTTTGGAGGCAGGTTTGAGCTTGTCCTTTCCTTTAGGTTAGGTATTTAATTTTAATGTGGTCAGAACTGACAACCTTTGCCCTTATTTGTACACTTCATGTCTTATTTAAGAAATCTTTCCCTAAGTGAACTAATCAGACATAAAACTTAAACATCACTGGTTTTTCTTCAATGAGAAACCCAGAGTAACAATAAACAGTAAAATAAAGATAGAGAATAAGAAGTAGGAGGAAGGGGAGGAAGGGGGATGAAGAGTTGGAGGGAGGGGGCAAGGAGGGAAAGGACAAGGGGTGAAAGGAGGAATTGAGATGTGTTATGTACATGTACCAACTCCACACAGGCAATGTGAACATTATGTACTGCAAACATGGACCCTCCAAAAAAAAAATAAAGAAGGGGATCAAAAGATGCCTGGAGGGGGAAGGAGGGAAGGGAACGGAGTTGGAAAAAGGAATTAAGGTGTTTTATGTACATGTACCAACTTCCACAAGGAATGTAAACATTATGCACTACACACGTGTACTAATAAACTAAAAAAAAAATCCTTCCCTATCAGAAAGTCCTGAAAGTATTCCGTATTTTTCACATTCTATTTATTCCTTATTTTCTCTGAAGTGTTTGGAGTTTGGTGTTTTCGTTTGAGTCTGCTTCCCTCCCATAACTGATCATACTGGATGATGCAGAAAGGGGCAGTCTCTCTCCTGAGCATTGACAGCCCCTTGTCTAGCCCCAGAGGCCAGCAGGACACAGAGGGCCCTTTGGATCAAGATGACCCCAGGGCAGCACGTAGCCAGAGTACAGAGCCTCAACTAGTAGGAGTGAAGAGATGGCCTCTAGGCCTGAGGGACATAGGGACAAAGGGTACCAAGACAGGAGACAAGGAGGGGTATATGGATAGGGTAATGGTGGCAGCTGAGAGCTTCCTCTGAGATACACAGCCAATCCATGCGGACCCTGCATGAGTACTAATATGGCCATCAGGCCAGCCTCGCCAGGTCACAGCAGGGCAGGTTGCCCAGAGCCTACCTCAGTGCCCACCCAGACCTGCATCTCTGTAGGCTCTCCAGTCTATCTCACTCCCACCTATGCTGCCCTCATCACAGGAGTGCATGGAGCTGGGTCATCCATCACTCAGGGCAGGCCCCTTCTTGCTCTTCTCCCACATCTCTTGGCTCTTCCCTTCAATATGAGTTTCAGGATCAGTCCATCAAGTTCAAATCTCGAGTAGCTTTATGTTGGTTGATGGATTAAGGTATGCTGATTAAGGTACGCTAATAGTAGACCATCATCCTCATCACCTTGTGGTTCATGTTGCTCATGTCAGGGGGACCCTCTCGTCCAGTTGCTGGCTCTCCATGGCATCCAAGACCACAACCACTCTCTTGCATTGCAGCCTGCCCAGGGCAACCTAAAACTTGGCAAACACACTGTGGAAGCATAATTAGGTCTCTAAATTTTGGCATCTGATGTCTGGTTGGCAAAGACAACATTTGATTATCAGCAAAAGTCTCATTGTCTATAGAAATTACTGTGAAAGGAGGCTTCTTATTGAGTGAAATTGGACATTTAAATGGAAGTTGATAAAATGTGTGGACATTTGACATAGGGGTTTGCTCTGCCAATACCCCCTTCTTATGGTTCCTTTACCCTTGGCATATTACCTAGGCTGTGAAATTTGCCAGTCACAGCACTAAAGGGTGACTCTTTAGAAAAAAGGCAGAAGAGGAAACAGCAATGGACCTAAGGCAATATTTCTTGTGGTGTCCAAGGAATGGAAACTAGTGTGGCACCCTCTGAACCACATTGGCAACTTTACTCTAGTCATTCTGCCCAAGAGCCTCCTCACTAATTCCACACCTATTCTTCTATCATCAGTGGCCAGCACTTTGGCTGTTGTATACATGCTGCCCAGGAACACTCATTTCTCTTGGGAGCAGCTGCTCTAGAGATCCACTGTAGAGAAGTGCCCTTTGGGACCTGGACTGCCACTCAGGCTGGCTCTCTGTAGGGCCTACTGGGAGCAGACTGATGTCTGGTCCCATTTAGGAATCATAAATCTGCCTCCTGGTCTCCAGACCATATTGCCTGCCAATGGGGCCATTTGTTGATCCACATCCACATTTAAATCTACTTGGCCTAGCCTTGATTTCCCTTCCTCAAAATAGTTTGTTTTTCTGGAGTCCAATGTCAGTGGCTGCTAGACTCCTTAAATTCTACGCAGACCTGGTCATTTGCTTCAGGATTGCTATGTAGCTTTAGGCCACGAGACTGAAAAGCTTTAATTGAGCCCCATTATTCAGTGAAGACTCACTGCTGACTTTTCATTAAACCTGGGTGGTGTTTTTTTTATGAGTTCACAGTTATGGCATGTTTTATAAGCCAACTAAAAGCAATCCCAGTGCTCACACCCATCACGCCTTCTAGGCAGTTACCAAGATCTCTGCGGAAAATGTTCTTAGCTCTATTCTTCTCAGAACCTTAATCCTAGGAGACCCTGAGTCTAGCTGTGTCCATGTGAGAGGAACAGGGACAGTGTAAGGGGGGAAAGCGGTGCCCTGGATGCAGCCACAAGCATCTGATGCCCCTTGCTGCCTGCTAAGAATGTTTTTGACTTTTGCAAAATGATTTGGTATCCAGATATCTTACCAAACCTTCTTACGTTCTAATTGCTAGTATATAGGCTTGGTTTTTCTTTGCAGCTAATCATCATATAGACAGTTGTAACTCCTCTATTCCCTTTTAAATTAAATATAAACTGATATAAAAAAACAAAAATACAGTATTAATGAGGTACCATATGATGTCTCAATACTTGTATACATTGCATAATCAGGTTACTCACAATGATCTCCTTAAATCTCTCTCACTCACTGTCTCATTCTCTCCCTCTTTAGTGCTGGAAATCAAACCCAGGATCTTGTGCACGTTAGACCAGCTGAGCTACACCCCAAACCCTAAGTCTCATTTCTTTCTTTAGCATATAGTAGGTGATGTTTAGATTCTTGGGAAGAGTACTCACAAGGAGCAGGTCATGGGGACAACCCTCCCTTGCATCTACCTTGACAAGGAACACTAGTCTCCCCACTAAGTATGAAGTGTGTTTCAAGCTACTCATAAGACCTTCTCTTAGGCAAATCAGTCAGTATGCTTGATTGCAGACAACAAACTCCACTCTAGCTGATACAACTAGGAAAGGGTTTATTGTAAAGGCTCAGGTGGTTAGAAAAGCTCCGGGATGGACACAAAATTGGGCTTGTTTGTTGTATTGTCCAGAAAAATGCTAATACACCAAGGGACTTTCCTAGCGGACATTCCACTGACCCAGCAGAGCATGTAGGCATCTAGTCAGTTGTCCCCAGTCTGGCACAGATGCCCCTGAAGAAATAGTGCTATACCCATGCTCCACTTCAGGTGCTCACCTCCACATCGCCACCAGCCACCCATGGCCACCTGCCTGCAAAAGCCCAGGTGGTTTGGTGCAGGGGAGGCTGAAAAAAAGAGATGCTCAGATTCCAGTCTCTTAAGAAAGTCACTTCTTTGTCTTAAGTTGAGGACTTCAGTCGTTTCATGTTTTGTTTCTTTTTTATCTTCTTGGTTTAAAAATAAATGCCAAACAAAATAAATAAAATAAATACATACAGGAGAATGAAGTTCCTTCTAATTAGGAAGATAACTGGTACAACAGAAACACCAAGTAGTAGTTAGAAAGGATCTTTGCCTTTTGCAGTCACTGCCTGGCTGGGGGTGTGGTAGCTGAGGAAGTGAGTGGAGACCAAGCCAGTGCAGCTGATACCCTCAGTGCTGGGGCCAGGGGGGTCCTCTCAGGATGGAGCTCAGGATAATGAAGGCAGGGCCTTCAGAGGAGGCAGAGAGGGAGCAGGCAAAGGAGCCAGGAGGAAACCTAGGAAAGACCACAAACTCTAGAACGAGGCAATTCTGGGGACATGAAAAGCCCCATCATTTTTCTTATAGCTCCAGACTCCCACCTACACTTCCGGTCCTCAGTTCCTGGTGGCCTCAGCCCAATCTCAAATATCTGGTGGTAGATGGAATAGGCCACAGGGATCGGGTACTTGAGGAGTTTTGGGAAGCTGCTGGCCCTGTTTGGGTTGGGTTGAGTCTTGGGGACCTCTCAGGCTCAGCCCACTGGGTTCCCCTGTCCTAGATCCCTCAGGTCTCTCTCCTAGGACCTCTTCCTTGTGCACCCATCGGATTGTGGCCCGCCATACCCAATAGCCTCCCTCTGCCACACCTGCCCTCTAGTCCCTTTGCCTGCCTGTGGGCCAGAGTGGGGCCAGAAGGTCCCTGATAGCCACTCTCCCCACAGGCCTCTCTGAACCCCAATGACCACAAGCTGGACGAGGAGCTGTGCCAGACACTCACACAACGCTATGTGAGCATCATGAACAAGCTGCAGAGTCTGGGCTACAATGGACGGGTGCATCCAGCACTGACAGAACAGCTAGTGAATGCCTATGGCATACTGCGTGAGCGGCCAGAGCTGGCTGCATCTGAGGGTGGCTCCTACACCATAGACTTCCTGCAGCATGTGCTGGTGGAGACCGTGCACCCCAGCATACTCACTGATGCGCTGCTACTGCTCTCCTGCCTCAACCAGCTGGCACATGATGATGGCAAGCCAATGTTCATCTGGTGATACCGGCACCCGGCTGGCCCAGGCTTGCTCTGCTCTGCAGTCCTGTGTACAGTCATTAAATCTTCCCACAGAGGCTACTGCTAAGCCCAGACTATTCTGGGGTGCTGCCACCTAAGGCTGGCTTGCCAAACCCTGCATGAGGTTCTTCAGTCCTACCTGCTGTGGAGGTCCACACCCATCCCTTGGAGAGATCCCTGGAGCAAGGCTTGGCAGCTATCTGGCTTTGGTCAGAAGCCCCCAGGTCTCCTTCTCTTGGTGATAGAAGCAGTAGAAACTCAGGTTTGGATGGAGAAGAACAGGAACTGTGAAGGAGTGGAGCAGTGCCTAGAGTGGTAGGCAAGAACTAGGGGGCAAGGAGCTCCAGGGCCTGGAAGGCAGGAAGTAAGTAGAGGAAGGAGATCCAGGAGAGAACAGAATTGCCCACACCTGGGGAGGGGAAAGCCAAGGAGATGGTAGCCCCTTGCCAAGATGCCCAAAGTCTGGAAAGAAGAGGCCCCCTTCACAGGGTCCTAGGGGCCTGGGATTAGGGGCTCAGAGAAGGAGAGGGCCAAACTCCCAGTTGGGGGGCTGAGGCACACAGGTTGGATAGGGGAGGACAGGGGAGGGGAAATGGGGATTGGGGGTATGACTGGATGCTGGAGGTGACCTAGACTGAAATGGGAAGGGCTGTGGGTGTGGGAAGCTGAGGGGGGTAGGCCAGGATGGGCTGGAGGGTGCAGGAAAAAAAGGTAGCAAAGGAAAGCCTAGAGTGGCCTCTGGCCTACAAGGTGGAAAAGGGCAGGCCCTCCCTGAGGGAAGGGGCAGAGGCTGGGCTAGGGAGGTGGGAATAAAGACACCAACTGATGAGGGTCCCAAAGCACCAGTGGTTGCCATTTAGAGGTTGGCAGGAGGGGATGGAGGGGCCACCCTGCCTGGGTTCAAACAGAAATCCTGTCAGCTACCAAGTGAGGAGTCCAGGACAGAGGGGTATAGAGTGTACTAAGGTCCTCAGTCTTGGATGCCAGGCCCCAGGAGCTTGCTGCCTTCTGCCCCCACCCCCGGTCCCCTGGCAACTTCAGGGAATCCAGTCAGACAGCTCAGCCTTTGGCTCAGCCCCTGGGATAATCAGGACAGGACTTGCTCCAGAAGGCAACAGCTTGGCCAGATGAGAACCAGAAGCCCCTCCATCTCCTTGGTAACCTGGGTGGATACTCCTGACCCAAACTTACAGTACAATTTAAAAGCCATTTGGCTGGGCGTGGTGGCACATGCCTGTAATCTCAGCATTGAGAGGCTGAGGCAGGAGGATTCTGCTCCAGTTTGAGGCCAGCTTGGACTACATAGCAAGAGACAACAATAATAATAATAATAAAGATATTTGTACCAGGCTGATTGAAGGGTGGCTCACAGCTGGAATTAGAAAGGTGGGCATCCCAGGGAACAAGCAGAGCCTGAGAGCTGGTAGCAACTGCTTCTTATCCTAGAATCCTAGGGAGCCACTGCCAGAGTGCTCAGGGAATGGGTACTGGTTTCTACTTGGCTGCCATGCCCAGGAGTTATCATAGGGTGGATCCAACATCCCTACCCCCTGCAGAGTGGAAGCTCCTTGAGGTAGGATCACAGGCCAACCAATACTATGAGCCAGCCTTTTGAGGGACTGTGCAGGTCACTGAGCCACCTCCATTGGTGTTGATCTTTGAACTCAGGAGCTAGACCCTACAGTGCTGCAGGGAGGTGGCCAGGGGGACCCTGGGGAGCCCTGACAGGTGAGGAGCCAGATGCAGCACATTGTCCTCTTCTTAGTAGCTCTGTACCTGCCCACGTTCAAAGAGTGTATGGCTGCACCCCAGACTCTCCTTGCATAGGGTAGGCCCTTTGGTGTTCCCCTGCAGCTTCAGGGAGGTACGAGACAAAGAGTATCTCATGTGGTACCAAAAAAAAAAAAAAAAAGAGGATCTCATGTGGGACTGTTAAGTCCAGGGGACCTTCACTTTCATTTTTTCTTTTCCCATCAGCTGCTGAAATTCAGAGGTGAGGAGAGGGGCTTCCCCTAGCATCTGAACACTTGGGCAGTTGGACTTGCACTTTCCTAGCTCCGTGTAACAGCTGTGCCACATTGTCATGACCCGAGACACCCCTGAAGCTTGTATGAACTCACCCACAACTCCACTTGCACACTAGAAGTGAGTTTCCTAGGCACCTTGCAGCCAAGGAGCCCTGCGTGGCATGTAATCCCCACCAGACTGGGCACCGTCTGCTGCCCTGCAGTTCTCACCCTTCCTGCACCAGGAACTACACACCCTCTACTGTGTGGCATGTGTGCTGCTGTTCCCTGACCTACTAAGCTCCGACTGAACTGCTGAGCTGCTGGGCACTCATGGTGTGCCCCAGGAGGGTGAGGTGGCTGAGTGCCAGCCAGCCAGCAACTGGTACAACCCCTTTTGCTGCCAGGCCACCTCTGTGGTGCTGGGTGCTGTCTGCTGAGCACAGGTGTATGGATTCACTTTCCTTGCTGCCAATCTGTGCCTGTTCCTTGACAGACTGGTGCACTTCAGCAACCTGGTGCACAGGCAGCAGCATGCCATAGTCATTGGTGTTGAAGTGCTGGCCAGCCTGTGGCCCTCACTCTGTGAACTATCAAATTCAGCCAGACATGGCCTGGGTTGCTGGGTACAGTGCTGATGGCTTGGGTGCCCATGTATCTGAACGTTGCATGCGTGCAAAAGTTGTTTGATCTCCATGCAGCCCAGTGTTGCTTGACGTGGGCATATTGCATCTGCAGCTCAGGACCAACTTCAAGCTGCTGGGTAGCAGGCTCCTCCTAGTCTCACACTGTCCACTGCTACACACCATCCTCTGTTGTTTTGGAGGATGTGCTCGCCTCCAAGGACCTGTTGTCCACTTGGATACAGCCCCTCCCAATCTCCCACTGCAATGTGCCCTAGTGGGAGGGGCATGAGCTTCAGCACCAAATGAGCAAAGGGAATTGGAGCCATTGGTGACACTGGAGGCTCAGCTAGGTATCTTGGATGGGTACCTCATCGTGGGGCTCCTACACCGCATGCATGTGAACATACCAACTGTTGAGCCCTGAGCAAAGGGTTGCTGGGATATGACAGCCCTCCCACCCACACTCTTCTCTCCATGGCAGCACCAGATCCCTACTTAAATCTCTGCTCCCCACCTCTCTTTATTCACAGACTGCAGCACTGCAAGTCCCCAGAAATCCCTTGGAGGGTGTACAGATCAGGACCAGGTTGGGGGCCAGGTGTCCAGGATGCAGATGGCCACCCTGGGCTGAGCCCACTGCACACTCCTGCCCCTCAAAAAGGATGAGCCCTTGTGCTACACACAACTGTCACTGCTACATGACTGGGCCAAGTGGTCTGAGGGCAAGAGCCACCAGAGTAGCAAGGCTGTGGCCTTCAGAATGCTCCTGGGTGACCTCAATTCCATATATGTTGTTTGTTGATTTGTTTTAAGACAGGGTTTTGCATGCAGTTCAGGCTGACCTTGAACTACACATCCCAGGCTGACCTTGCGGAGATCTTCCTGCCTTCGCCTTCTCACTGCTTGCTGCTGAGGTGAAGTTCTGGACAAGGCAGGGCCAAGGCCCACCAAGCACTGGGTTTCTCTGCATACCACGTGCAGGAGCCACTGTAGCACAAATTCTTCAGCTATTTCCAAGCCCCCTGCCAGCTGGCTCCCTGGGACCTGGGTACTGTGCCTGGTGGGAGCCTGGAGATGACTCTTCTGAAGCTCCTGCTAATTCCACCCTCCTCAGCCCCTAACAGGGTGGATCTCAAACATATCCAAGTTCCAGGAGATGGTGCAGAGGTGAGTGGAGTTCTAGGAGCCAAAGAGCAAGAGATGCCCTGGCTCCCTGCTCCCCCAGGACCATGAAGCAAGAGAAAGGTCACTACCTTGACCAGGCAGGAGCCTAGCTAAGGTCAGGGGCTGGTGCCTGAACTACATCACATACTGGAAGTGCCAGCACTCAGAGTGGCTAAGCTTGCCAGCCTTGGGACCTCCTCTCAGCTTGACTCCTGCCCTAGGAGGTGGAACAGAGGATGCTCAGTACCGTCCTGGTGGGGCTCATGGACCACTCGGTGTCCTCCTGACCCTGGCACACAGACCACAGTGCAGAGGCAGCCATACCCAAGAACTGGGAGACCTAAGGAAATCTTTATTGTGGAGGCCTTCACACAGTCTCCTGGGCCCGGCGGTACTCATAGACACTGCCACGTTCAGGGAAGGCCGGGAACTGTGCAGGCGAGCCAGGTGGTGGGGCAGGGTCTTCTGGGTCCCCATAGCCCCCACCACCAGGGGTGTGAAGGCAGAACACATCCTGTAGAAGAGAGGTACAAGTTCGGAGTAGGCATGGCCCTGCCCCAGCCAAAGCAGTATCTGCCCCTCTGGACCTCAGAAGCCTAGGGAGCAGCCCTCTTTTTTTTGTTGTTCTTTTGTTTTTTTTTGTTTTTTGGTATGGGGGATCAAACTCAGGTCCTTGTGCTTGCGAGGCAGGCGGCGAAACCACTGAGCTAAATCCCCGGCCCTGGGGCAGCCCTCTTAAACATCAGAGCCTGCTAGGTGCAGTCACACATTCTGGGAGACTGAGGTGGGAGGATCAGAGCAAGTTTGAGCAACTTAGTGACTTAGTGAGAACCAGTCTCAAAACAAACAGCTGGGGAATATAACTCAGTACAAAGGCTGAAGAAGGGAGGGGAAACAGCAGCCGACTCCCTTACCCCAGGGTACACAGTCACCGATGTCTTCCCGCCCAGATTCACTGTGCGGCCATCCTTTCGGATCAGCAGGTTTAGGCCACTGGCACCCGGCTGACCCCCTGCAGCAAGAGGCAAGATGAAAGGGTGTCCTGGGAGAAATGGAGTGGGGTTGGGATTCAGGGGGGCCAGGGAGGGTGGGCTCAGCAAGGTCGAGCTTGGGACCCAGCTTGGGACAGCAACAGAGAGGGAGAAGCTAGGAGCCACCCACCATGGAGACCATAGGGCCTGAATGCACGGCGCTCAGTCAGCACAGACAGCAGGGCCTCCTCACGAAAAAGGAGCTCGCGGACTACACCATCACCACCCCGGAAGCGGCCTCGACCCCCAGAGTCCGGCCTCAGCTCAAACCGCCGCAGGATGACAGGGTACCTACACAGATGGGCTCAGCTCAGCCAAGTGAATCCCTGCCCAGTTGCCCACCCCTCACTCTGCTCACCGGCTCTCCAGGATCTCAGGGTCAGTAATGCGCGTGTTGGTCATGTGGCTATGCACACCACTGCGCCCATGCCAGCCAGGTCCTGCACCCGCGCCTCCAGCCACTGTCTCATAGTAGCCCATGTGGGCATTGCCCAGGGTCACGTTATTCATGCAGCCCTGGCAAGGAAGTAGTCACTGCCCTTGGGTGGAGTGGGGCATGCACTCCCTGTGCCATCAGCCAGTCTAGCAGCCCCAGGGTTACATCCAACCCACCTTGCTGTACCTGGGAGGCTGCACAGGCCCCAAAGGCCCCCAAAATGACATCCACCACACGCTGTGACGTAAGAACATTGCCACCCACTACCGCGGCCTCTGGGGATGGGTCCAGGATGGAGCCTCTAGGAATCACCACACGCACAGGAGCCAGGCAGCCCTGTGTGCAGGTGGGTGGGGGCCAGGCACAGTTAGAACTGGATCTCTCTTGGGTTCTAGCCCTTGAAAAACTGGTCTCCACCCACTCTTAGTCAGCCTCCCACACACACTACATCCCTACAAACCTGGTTGAGTGGGATATCACGGCCCACAAGACAACGCAAGCAGTAGATAAGGGCTGACAGTGTTATGGCCCGTGGGGCATTGAGGTTGCCAAACACCTCAGGCCCAGTGCCACTGAAGTCAAACACAGCACTGCCCTGCAAGGCAGAGGGGCAGCAGAGGGGAGAGCTCAGCTCAGCAGTCCTGTAGCCAGCAAGGCCCCATATGCCAGACAGGCCCTCCCTGCCTCTCCAACAGGCCTGACCTGACTCAGGTTGATCTGCACACGGAGGCAGATGGGGGAGCCATCGTCCATGTGGTCCTCCGAAGACACCTCCAGAGGCAAGCCCTGGGCCTGCCGGGAGGTCCCAAAGGCCCGTAGCATATCACGGACTGCCAGCTCAGCGTTTTCCTGGCAAGGAGAGGGATCAGCTGCAGCTATGCCACTTTCAGGGTGCCCCAGCTGTCTTGAGATAGGCTCAGCGCTGTCCCCATGCACCTGTTCCCAAGCCCACCTGAATATGGCCCATGTAGGCCTGCACCACGTCCAGACCGTACTGCCCGATGAGCTCTCCCACCAGCTGGATGCCTTTCTGGTTGGCTGCCACCTGGGCACGGAGATCGGATAGGTTGTCATGCAGGTTCCTAGTTCCGCTACAGCCAGAGATCTTGCCTGGTGCCCGCAAGGCCTCTGTCACCGCTGGATGGACAAAGTCATCACTGAGCCACCCTCCATATCCTGGGCCACCTGTTCCATAGCCATTGCAGGCCCCTGGGCACTGGAAGCCCCCCATGTTGGCCTTCCACGGGCTCCCCACCTCCCCTAATGACTTAGTGGCCTGAACATTTCCACCCTTCTGCTATGTCTTCTCCTTCCCATTGCCCAGCATCCCAGGTAACCGTGGGCAGGCAGCTTTGCCAATGACCTCACTAAAGCTGGAGGTGTCTGGAGGGCCACAGGTTTATCCCTCAACAAATTCCCCTCCTCCTTCATCCCTCCTTCCTTCTCTAGGCCTCTCTTCCCTCTCCCAGGAGAAAAATCACTTCCCTGACATCTTCCACTCGCCCTGCCCTCAGTCACTGCTACCACTGGCCTTCAAATGAGTATCAGGCATCTGCCTGTGCCCCACCCCCACACTGCAGGATTCCCAGATCTGGATGAGGTTCCCCTTCCACTCTGGCAAGCAGTGCAGGTTTGGCCCAGGAACCGCTCTGCACCTAGGGAAAACTGTCTCCCTTCCAGTCTGGGTCATGGTCCTCTGAGCTCTCCAAGCCACTGTGACCCCTGCTCCACACTTGCACTGTCCCTCTGTGATCTACAGCCCTGTCCCAGTTCCCGGTGACCAAGGCCGATCTTTTTGTGTTCACTGCAACCAGAGTGGCCTGTGGTTTTTTTACTCCCACCTCTTCCCTGCCCTCATCACCTCCCCTCACTCTGGGACACCTCTCTGGGCTCCCACATTTGTGACCTCAGCTCAGTCCTGCCTTTTCCTTCCCGCAGCTGCTCTGTGCAAGCTTGGTGCAGGGCCTCTATCCCCTGGCTGTCCAAACTTGATCCTTTCACTGCCTTCAAACCCCATCAAACACTGACCTTGAGTTCCCAAACAGTTCCCTCCCCCTTCTACCTAGCTTGATGTTCAGCATCATTTAGGGCAACTCCAGCTGCCACATCAGACAACTCCTCCCTGGCTTCCAGTTCACTCTGGGACCCCCATCCTCTACAGGTGGATGTGCAGGTAACAGCACTGCAAGTCCCAGTGAAAGTCCTTCATTGCTCTGCTGCCCGGGGACTCAGACCCAGGTATAGGCTCAGAAGGGTCTAAGGACCTGCAGCTCCTTACCCCTGGCACTGCTCTCTGCAGCCCTCAGACCCCAGTGTGGACTGTAGCAATCACCCACCTTGAAACATGCCCTTCTCCCTCTAACACTCTGCCCTTTGGGTGTCCTGCCCAAGTATCCCACTAAACCAAATCCCAGAAGGACTTCCTGCTCCCAAAATTATAAGTTCTAGTCATCTCAGAGATGATGTACAACTCCCCAGAGGGGTTACCACTTGTCTCCCCCGAGCCTCAGGGCAGGCCAGGGCTGGACTGTATCCTAGAGTCAGCCCAGTCTGTTACCAACAGCAATGATCCATCCCATCCTGCTAATCCCCACCATGGTCCCACTCCTGCTCACCCTCTTCTTGGAAGACACCTCCCTGGACCAGCTTGAATGACAGAAAGACAGCACCTTCCTGTTGCAGTGTGGTAGAGTGGGGGGGCATGGAGCCTGGTGTAATGCCCCCAATGTCTGCGTGGTGGCCTCGGCTGGCCACATAGAACACAGGCCGTGTCTGACATAGCCAAAACACCTAGCAAGTGGAAACCAACGGTCAGCTGTGTCAGCTGTCTTCTCCCCCCCGCCCCACCAAAAAGTACCCAGGTAGCACCCCTCACCGGTGTGATGACAGTCAGGTCTGGAAGATGGCTGCCCCCTGCGCTGGGGTGGTTGCTGAGTAGCACATCACCAGGGTGGAGGTCAGCCCCCAAATGCTTGATCTGAAACCAGGAGATATGTACAGCAGGGGGAGGGGGAGCAGGGGCAAGGGCAAGCTGAAGATGGGGGAGGGGCACTGCACCTGAAACTGCACAGTCTCCTGCATGGCTCCCAGGTGAACAGGGATGTGGGGGGCATTGGAGACCAGCCCCCCATCAGGCCCGAAGAGGGCACAGGAGAAGTCAAGGCGTTCTTTGATGTTGGTAGAAATGGCTGTGCGCTGCAGGATGCGGCCCATCTGTTCTGGGGGCACAGAGTAACCAGGTACTCGGTGATTCCACCACACAGCCCCAGAAAAGGGAAGAACAAGACCCACATGGCCTCCCAGCAGTTTTCCCATGTCCAGCAGAAGACTAGGGTGGCAGAAGACCCATCCTGGCAGTGAAGCTACAGCCAATGAGTCTTGGCCTCTTGTGGAGGACACCAGCTTCCTTTCTAGCCTGCCTGCAGCCCCTAACCAGAAGCTGGGATCTCCCCTCCACCCCCTACCCTGCCTGGCACAGTGATAACCTAGTTCCTAGGCACAGACACTGACCCCCCCAAAAGCACCTGGCCTGGGCTGAGGATTTAGCTCAGTGGTTCCACCGCCTGCCTCACAAGCACAAGGACCTGAGTGTGATCCCCAGTACCAAAAAAAAAAAAGTGTTAGATCTACAAAAGCACCTGGCCTGACTCTGCACAGATGGATTCATTACATTGACCTGTTTTCT